GGAGGGGAGTAGATAAAAGATTTGATACCATATCTTGAGAATCCAATTGGGGTTCTTATTATGCAAATGCAATTACTCACTCTCTGCAAGCCTTGAAAAGTCTCTTTCTAAGGAAAATGCCAAATAAAACATTCAATCTTATTTCAGAACATTATTTTTGCTATAAATGTAATATAATACGTGTATATTATATATATATATTATTAATGGTTCTGTTTTAATTTTCTGAATCCATTGTGTTTTTTAGTGACATATCTACTGAGATTAGCTCCATTATTTCTGGCAAAGTTTTATGGGCCAGGCAGTACTCATGGTCCAATTTGAAATGGTCCAGTATATTTGGATCTTCTATATGACCAGGGATTCATGGTGGGTCCTGAGTCAACTGGCCCAGAGTTCTAAGTCAAACAATTATGGGAAAGGAATAAGGAAACGACGTAAAATCCCGCTAGTTTAGGTTATAATTATGTTCGGACAAAGTGGTTTGATGATACATTATCTTTTGTATTAGCTTTTGTTCGTCATATACATGTATTTGACGGGCTCATATACACTAAAGTGTAAATGTTGGGCTCAAAATACTTGTCATTTAAAAGTTCAAAACAAAGTTTTCTTTTTCTTCATTTACACTTTGTAGGAATTGCTCTTGAAGACTACAAATATTATATCTTAAGTCGGGGTCAATTCCGTCTCCAGCGGAGAAGTGGAAATTTATATCGATAGGCGATCAAAGATAAAAGTCAAAATATGTCGTGGAGAAGAGCTTACTTATGAGCAAAAATATAGTCAAATACCCCTCCCAATTCATATTTTGTTAAGGAACATGCAAATAAAAAACACGATAAATATTTTGAGATAGATAGAGTACTATAGTAGTATGACACATTGGTTTTCCCTGGTGACTTGGGTGATGTTATTGGGCCTCCAAGATGAAGTGGACTGCATGGGATGATTGGGCCATGGGAAGTGGCATGTGGGTTTAATTGTGTAGAATGATCAATGACATTATAAAGTTGTTTTAGTTTAATTCTTGTAACTTGTAACAATACTAATGGGAAGCTAATTACTTAAATACATATTAATTTGCAGTATTTTGAATCTTACCAAATTTTGTTGCTTCTAAATACATTCAGATACGTCCAAATATATGTATCTCAGGAAAAAAAGGGTCAAAATTAAGTGTAATTTGTTCAGATACACTGTATTTAAGTGGATTCACATGAATCTGAGATATATAACAAATCTTGCTCGCCTCCCTTCTATCTCATTCGTCACTCTCCTATGTACTTGGTATCTGAGATGCATACGAATCACACCAGATACATATAGATACATGTATCTAGTGTGATTCACATGTATCTTAGATACATAACAAATCTCGCTCACCCTCTCCCCATCTCGCTCATATCTCTCCCTATTTAGTATATTGGTAGCAAAAATACATGTATCTAGGTGTATCTTTTTCAAATATATGGTAGGAAACTCTTAATTAGTGGTAGGATAAATAATATTTTAAAAGTATATAGGTAATAATAGTATATATGGTGGTAGAGTATGTATAATTATGTAGTTTCTCCTACAGATTTCATGGTTTGGATACTGTTGTTTAATATGTACCAAATTTTAAAAAAATCTTGTGCACATTTACCTAATTCGAAATATAAGTTTAAACATATTATATCTAAAGTTTCATAAGACTGAAGTTCAAACATTTCAGCTTGAAGTTCATCATGCAAAATGACTAAGCGTCAATCCTATATGTATGAACTTCAAGCAAAAATGTTTGACATATGAAACATCAGACAAGAAAAACTCTAATGTAACATCAAACATATGTAGCTTCGAAGTAAGTAAATTTGTAACTGTTTACGTGCTATGAATATGACTTAAAAGATGATCCTAAAATCCGGTATCCATGCAGTTGGGCCTCAAAATTTCAAGCTTACATTGGACCATCTTTTCTAGTTGAAATTATCCACATTAGAACCCACTACTCTAGCGTGAAAAGTATTTCCACACCGTCAATCAATTTTGTTAAGGATTCATAAGTTAATATACACATATATTTATTTAATTTCTTAGTACAAATACAAGCTCTACGAAAAAGCTATTGAGTTCGTCTGAACACACGAACCCCCACATAACTCCGCCTCTTCTAGTTTATAATATTTCACAAGTTATGTTGCACACCTTTAAAGAACTTATGCTTTGCTAGGCATAAATTCAATTGTGAAGACAAAAAATAAGATCAAACTGTCCATTTTAAAAGATAAACAATATTATACCAACAAATTTGAAGGATAAATAGTGCAATTAAATGTCACTAGGGATGGCAATGGGGCTGGGCGGATGCAGAGTGGGGCGGGTTTAAGGCTATGTGGGGCGGGTTGAAGTGAGTTTTTTTAAAAATAATGTGAGGCAGGGCTAGTGGCGTAGCCAGGAATTTTACGAAGGGTGTCCAAGCATTGAGTAAGTATTTATTCCTTTTTTACAAATGAGTGCACCAAATTTTATAAAATCAAAATGTATTAACTTAGCTCTAATGAGTTCATATTTAATTTAATATGAAGCGAATGAACGACGCAAAAAAAGAGAAAGAGGAAAGAAAGTTTATCCCAGAAAGAAACCATTGTTAGGCTTTAATATTATAATAGTATCTAGCGACAATGAGATACAAAGAAGGTAGAGCAAAATCAAACTAGATTTTAAAAAAATTAAAAATAGTGGAACATTTTTGCTTTTTGATTTTGGTAGAGTTGTAATTTTTTTTTTGTAAGTTTTACCTACAAAATTTAATGTAAAGTCAAAAAAGAAAGTAAAAAAGATACCCCGGGTAAGAATTTAATTTGCTATTGATACTTTTTTAAAAAAACAAAAGTTTACGAGAAAATCAAATCTCTTGGTCACTTACTAATTGCATAAAAGAAAATAATTATGATCTCTTACGTGTAAAAATAAAAATATCATATAAAAAGATCATAAAATTATGTAAGAATTGTTAATAAATAAATAACAATTGTTAATAAATAATATCAAATTTCATAGAAAACTTGAGTGAGTGACGTGCAAGTTAGTATTGCTCTCTTAAAAAAAATGAGAGAAGTAAAAAAATCAACTATAGGGAATCGATCCTCCAAACTCCCACGCAAGCGGACAAATTTCGCTGAGCGATTTCACCCACTGAGCTACACCACAATTTTGATTTTAGAGTGTCCAAAATATTAAATATACTCTTATTACATAAAATTTTACCTATATATACTGTGTAATTTTCCGACGGAGGGTGTCCAATTGGACACCCTCGACACACTGTAGCTCCGCCCCTGGGCAGGGCGGGTTGCGGGTATATGTGATTTTATGTGGGTTCAAACTTAATTTTAACTTTTTACATGTTATAAGAGTGATAGAACATTATTTATGAAGATAATTTCATTAAAGCTACTAAAATATTCAAGATAATAAATGAAAATGCTTCAATAAAAAATAATACAATTTCTTACATGTTTCCCAATTGACCTCTAAAAAACAAAATTTTAAGTCATCCTATTAAATTAATACAACGTAATGAAAAAATGAATTTATTTTTATGAATTTTATTTTTAGTATCAAACATAACTAAAAAAAGAAAATATTAAAAAAATTATGCGGAGTGGGTTCGTGCGGGGCGGGTCTATGCGGGGCGGGGTGGAGCGGGTTGAAAATGAAAAAAGTTGTTATGCGGGGCGGATTAAAAAATTTGTGGGTTAAGCTCAACTCGCACCAACCCCGCCCTACACCGCCCCATTGCCATCCCTAAATGTCACAATATTAACGTGTCCTATACTAAAAACCAAAACAAAGTATTGCACTTTCACATGTGTTGCAAAAAGTGTATAAAGCATCTTTGAAAATCATATGATTTATTCTCCACTTGGGATTCACGGATATCCAATACTATTTTTTCCCAATGTCTAGTTAATATATACTTTTTATGTCTTAAATTTATGTGACGTTTTTCATTTTTTCGAATTTTATGCATTTCTTCTCACTTTACGTATTAATCATCTATATATATGTGGTAAGATGGTAACTAAATTTTCATCTCAATATTATTTATGGTCATGACTCATGATGATATTCATCCTCACAAACTTAACATATAAAGCTACAACATAGTTGGAAAAACCATCATATGCATACTTTTCAACTTACCATGTGAAGCGACAGTTTACTTGGAATTTTTTTTTTTACTACTCAGTGTTCGTTATTTGTATTGAGACTCGATTAAATTTGAATTTATACAATGGTGATGGCCTAGCATAATCACACCTCACACTACTAAAAGATATATAGGATTTAGCAACAAATAAATTTTATAGTTAAACAATAAAATCCGTCGACGAATTGGAGACGATATTTGCTACTAGCAAATTAACGATGGATTAGTGACCTAATTAGTAGTTAAATTCAGGTTTTTTTAGTGCTTAAGCCACTATCTCTCTAGGTGGATCTAAAATTATTTTGAGTTTATAAATTTTGAATTATAGAAAATATAGTTTATTGCATTCTAGATAAATTATGTATACATATTAAGTGGTTCTTAACACAAAACTACGGAATTCTGCCAAACTTATAACTAAAGCTCTAATTCCGCCCTTCTTCAAGACTTAAAGGTCATTTTTGGTCATATTATTTACACATTTTTTGTCAAATTTTTGAAGTGAAATTGTGTTTGGATATGTATTTTACTTTATTATTTTTTTGAAATTTGGTGAGTGGAAGTTAAATTTCTTCCTAAAACATGCTTGAAAATATTCGAAAAATCAGATTTTCAAAATCTGATCAAATTTCGTGATCCAACAGGTGTTTAAGGATATTTTAAAAAAATAAAATCTAGTCAAACACTAGCATAATTACCTAATATTTACATATTTTGTTTCCTATATCTCATTGTCAAACTTAAATACAAGTCTCATTTACCTCTCATTCAATTTCATCCACCACATCCCCAAGAAAAAAAAATGTTGTTGGCCTATATTTTCTTGATTCTTTTGGCACACCCTTTTTGTGTCATTCCTACAAACACAACAACATCAAATGACAACAAAAACATATTCATTTTAGCAGGACAAAGCAACATGTCTGGCAGAGGAGGTGTAGAAAACAACATTTTTGATTGGTACATTCCACCAGAATGTCAGTCCAATTCATCAATCCTAAGACTAACAAAAGGACTTTCATGGGAAGTAGCAAAAGAGCCAATTCATCAAGATATTGATTATTATGCAGTTTGTGGGATTGGTCCTGGCATGTCATTTGCTAACTCTATTCTAAAAAATGATCCAAATATTGGTGTCATTGGTTTGGTACCATGTGCTATTGGTTCCACAAATATTAGCCAATGGTCTCAAGGTTCATTTTATTATAATCAAATGGTGAATAGGACTCGGATCGCGTTACAAGGTGGTGGGACGCTACGAGCCCTTCTTTGGTATCAAGGAGAGAGCGATACTCTGAATCTTGAGGATGCTAATTTGTATAAATCAAGATTGGAGAAATTCTTTACTGATGTGCGAAATGACTTAGGTGCACCTTCTCTACCTATTATTCAGGTAAATTCTGAACGTGTTTTTTTTATATTATCAGTATATATAGCTATAATTTATTTATTTTTGCTTTTGGTTGGGGAAAGTGGGGTTTGCATGACTTGCTTAAAACATATAGGCCAACATGTGAAGGTAGATCAAAAGTTATATATTCTCATTAATATATACTAAGGACAATATATCTTTGGTTTTAGAAAATTGTTGGAATTTTCTTTTCTAAAAAATTAAAAAATAGTAAATTTTTTATTTGTGAAACGTGACTCCTCATAGATTATATTAATAGGATCTTATTCATGTATTATTAGAAATTCATTACTTTTATGAGAATGAAGCTTTTGCCTTTTTTAGTAAATAAATCATTAAGATTTATTAAAACCAAACAAACAATGTCTCTCCATAATAAAGATATCAGATTGTCACATATTAAGTACTCTATCACCTACCTATCTTTTCACATTATATCTTAATTACTTCTTCTTGTATTTTGAATAGCATTTATAAGTTAGATATGTTAATAAAGTAATAGTGTGAAATTGTTTATATTGTTCGTGTATACAGTCAACCCTTTCATAAAAAACTCGTTGGTTTCAAAAAAAATAAATGATAAAAAGGATATCTTTATATAGAGGTTTGACTGTATAACTTAAAACATGTATGAATATTATATCTCACCTTGCTATCGCGGTGCTTATTCGTATGTTTTGGGCTTTATTTTTTGTGGATCCACAGGTGGCATTGGCAACAACATTAGGGCCTTATATGAAGGAGATAAGAAATGCCCAATTGGGGATTCACCTTCCTAATGTGAAAACAGTTGATGCTAATGGGCTCAAAGTAGGCCCAGATTATGTGCATCTTAGTACTCAAGCAGAGGCCCAGCTTGGACAGATGTTGGCCCAAGCCTTTTTGGAGTTTGGTTCATACACAATCCATAATTCTTTGGAGGTCCAAAACAAGGAATAGAAATCATTATAACTTTTTTTTTTATATTTTATTCAAATGATTAGTCTGAATGTAATTTAGGCCAGTTGATATACATATTGGAAATTTATTCTAGTTTCTGATAAATGATAATCTTTTTGTTTCAATTTATATCCAAAAAGTAGCACTTAAGGATGTGACCTAGTGTTAATGAAGTTGTTGAGAGTCATGATGTCTTAATTTCAAATTCGAACGGAGACAAAAATATTAGGTGATTTCTTCCCATCTGTCTTAACTTTGGTGGACAATATTACCTAGTAACTGTTGCTGCTGGGAGGTTATAAACATCTCGTGTTATAGAATATGCACAACGAAAACAAGCATAAAATCAATCAACTTACATGTAAACTAAATAAACCATTAAATGAGATTACATACATGTTGAAATTTTTAATCCTTCACATTTATACTTGACTTATTTCATGTGATAAATACAAAATCCACCTGTAAGATTTTAACATGAAAACTAATAAGCACAATAAATGGTTATTATCAATCTCAAGATCGAGACATGAATTTTATCATCTAATTATTATTTTACAAATGTCATTTATTATCATCTAAGCTACTAGACATATATTGACTCACAATAGAGTGTTATCCTTTGGCAAGTCGAGATAACAAGCAAATCGCATATATCATAATAATTATATCAAGATTAAATCTTAAAAGCATATGTACATATAATAATCTAAAAAACTTGTGTCAGCCCTGCAGACACAACAACATGGTAACAAAAGCATATTCATTTTAGCAGGACAAAGAAACATGTCTGGCAGAGGAGGTGTAGTAAACAACATTTTTGATTGGTATATTCCACCATAATGTAAGTCCAATTCATCAATTCCAAGACTAACAAAAGGACTTTCATGGGAAGTAGAAAAAGAACCAATTCATCAATACATTGATTTCTATGCAATTTGTGGATTGGTCCATAACAAATATTATATCTAAACACATGACTAATAATATTTGATACATATTATATGTAATTAGACGATTATATAAGAGCAACTTTCACATATAGCAAACACAAATTTCATATTTGTATGCTATAGCAAAGTTTGCATAATTGCGCTCCATAGCAAACATATATATGTATAATTCGCTATACATATACAAAAAAAAACAGTTGTATAATCTGTTTTGGTATACATATACAAAAAGATCAATTGTATAAAGTGAGAGAGGCGAGTGAGAGAGCGAGATATGGGAGAGTGGCGAGCGAGATCTGGGAGAGGGGAGAGAGGGGAATGAAAATATATGTATATATACAATTTTCACGCATTTTA